AATCTGTTCCACTGGTCCTCAAGTCTGTTTCTTTGCCAGTACCATGCTGTTTTTATCACAGTAGCTTTGTAGTATAGTTGCAGGTTGGGGATTGTGGACACCGTGTCTGTTAAGTGACTTAATCACCTGCCTCACAGTTAGGTTCCTGGAGAGCCAGTGGAAATTGGCTTTCCTTGATCCTGGGTTTGTGAGCTTGGCTTTTCAGAAGGGGCTGAGGTGGCCTCCTGTCTTCCTTTGGGCCATTCTGAGCTGCAGATTAGTCTTCAAGTGGCTTGGCTACGTGTGGTCTTAAAACAAGCAAGAGGAGGACTGAGCTCTGTTCAGGGCTGTTGAAGTGTGTAAACTCATGATGAAAGCGACATGGACTGTGTTACATGCGATTAATTCCGAAGCCCATACTAAGATGATCTTTTCAGCAGTTGCTCTTCTAACTGTGCACTGTTTCCAGGGTGAGGTTTCAGCAGGGAATCAGTTCAGACTTGCTAATGATCTGGCCGAGAGAGGCAAGGAGGCGAGTCCGTGGCTTCTCTTCGCTGCAGTCTCCAGGGCCCCTCAGTCTGACCTTCGGTTTGGGATGGGTGTCAGGAAGCCAAGAGCACTGGTGAGGTGTCGTGGCTGGAAACCAGGGCCCAGGAACAGAGTCCCCAGCAAACAGGAGCCACTGGCTGTTCGGCCCTGCTCACCACAGACCTGGTCCATTTCTTCTGTCACCTGTGGGATAATAGCTAGAGGGCTCGAGATTTCACTGGGATCAGGCGTCACTGCAGCCCTTCTCCTTAAGGCAGAATGGATAGTCTGGGAGCCAGGCGTGGTGGTGCATGCCTGTGATCCCAGCACTCTGGAGGATCACTGTGAGTTCAAGGCCACCCTGAACTTCGTAAAGAGACCCTGTCTCAAAAATAAACATTTGGGCACTGACTTTAGAGACATCTTCACGTGACTGTTGTGTAACTGAGAGTTGAATCTTGGTTTTCAAGGCATATAACTTTTTTTTCCCCCTTTTAGCGTTAACTTTCTGTACAGACAAGTTAGCTCTCAGCTTGTGAATGTAGGCTGAAAAGCCTATATTAGAGTGACTACAAAGAAACTGTCTTAGGGAATGAAATGATATCTCCTATTAAAGACAAAATGAATATTTAGAATCTGTGATCATGTCTGCTAGCTCTGTATTAGACTATATTAGCATATCTTCCTTGGATTCATCACTTTTTTTTTTTTTTTGGTACCAGGAATCAAACTTAGGTCCTTGCGCTTTTGAGGCAGGTGGTGGAACCACTGAGCTGAATCCCCAGCCCCATTCATCACTTTTGTTAGGTTATTCATTTTGAGACTTGAAGCAAGTCTTAATAAAAACAATGTACATTTTCGGTGAAAAATGGAGACCCAAAGTTAGGATAGCCCATGTGCTGAGCCAGTGATGGTGAACCTTGTAGAGCTTTCACTGCTAATAGCCCACTGCGGCATGCGTGCCGTGGATTCACTGCCCCTGCTCTAAGCTGTTATTTATTGCAGTGCAGTATTGGATTTGATTTCAGGTGCTCGTGCAGAAGTTTGCCAGAAAACACCACATTGGGCTGACCAGTCTGATCACAGCAGAGACCACCCATGTAGTCATGAAGACAGGTAAGCCAAGAGCCCTATGCTGGGTCAGCCAATAGCCGGTTCTCCAGGCACTGGAGACATTTCTGGGACATTTCTATGTAATTCTGGTCACAGCGTGGTGGGGCTTGAGCCCAGGGTCCAGCCCCCAACTCTGACCACAGGGTCAGAGGGCACCAGGGCAAGGGACCACAAACCAATCACCATGGAGACAAATGTCATCACAGTTAAATATATTTTATTTATTTATTTATTTATTTTGTACTGGGGATTGAACTCGGGACCTTACACTTTCGAGGCAGGCGGTGGAACCACTGAGCTAAATCCCCGGCCCAGTTAAATATATTTTAAGCTATAGGTTTGAGTCAAAGCTGATGAAAGGTGAAAAAGCTTTAAAATGCAAATTAAACCTAAAGTAGTTCAGTCCTTAAACTCAAAGGCAATATAACATTCACTACTTTTGAACTGAAAATGAGCTAAAATTTCTAAGTTTAAAGCATGTTATTAAATCGGCTTTTGTGGTGTTGGAACAAAAAGCTTCGTACATTGTTAAGGGTTTTGTGATGAGAGTCTGCTGTGCTTGGAGAAGGTCTGCTATTCAGGGTTCAGTTAAGTACATTTCTCCTCTTTAGAACCAAATGGTCTGTTCTCAGTGTGCTTGGGTCTTTAGAGGGCCTTTGAAACACTTGGAAATAAGCCGAAGTGACTGCAGCTACTGCGCTCTGAAGGACCCACATGCAGGATGGAGAGGAGTCACAAAAATAGTGTATTTTGAGGTGTAGGGAGGGGTGGGGAGTGGGAATTCTGTGGGGGCCGGTTGGTCACATCGACGGTTCAGGGTTTAGTGCAGTCTTTGCTGAGCACAGCAGGCCAGCCCCTCCTCAGCAGTCTCAGCTGTGGCTTGGGCGATCCCTTGAATGTGACTCTGGGCTCCTTAGCTACCTGTGGCCTCTAGGGGATGGGGCAGGTGTCTCCTCTCCTCTTGCCTTGGCATCTCTGGAGCCACAGTGTGGCTCTGTGTCGGCAGCTCCGGCCTCTGCCTCTGACACAGGGCTAGGGGCCATTAGGCCACATGGCACTTCATTCAGCCTCCTCCAGCAGCAGTTTCTGATTTTGTTCTAATCTTTCGGATGTTTTTCACTCCACAGATCCTGAGTTTGTATGCGAACGGACACTGAAATATTTTCTGGGAATTGCAGGCGGAAAATGGGTGGTTAGCTATTTCTGTAAGTGTGCGATATGCTTTCTCTCCTCCTCTCTTCAACACCTCAGAATTGCATTCTTACACCTAACATGTTAACACCTCTGATTTCTGTTGATGCGAGTCTGAATTACCCAGAGGTCTTTAGTGGTGACACAAAACTGGCTATCTTTAATGCATATCGCATTGTTCACATAAGCTGATGTTGAAGAAATGGATTTCTTTCATAACTAACAACCTAATGCGTCCTAGCAATGTTAGCATGGGGATGGGGACTTATTATCAGTGGGCAGAGAGCCACGGGCAGCGTAGATTGAGGATCGTGGGTCTCGGGGAGGAAGTGGCCATCTCCACCTCAGCGCAGAGCTCGGCTTCTGGGCAGGGAGTACCCTCCCCTCCCCTGCTCTCTGGTGCACTTCCCTGGCTCTAGGTGACCGTCTTCTGTGATCTCTCTAGGGGTGACCCAGTCGATGCAGGAACGAAGGATGCTGGATGAGGTGGGTACTGGGTGTGACAAACTAACCAGACACTTGGCACCTCACGTCACAGTCACACACAGCGGCCTGCTCCCTTCTGTGGAAGGAGGCTTTCAATAAATTTCCCTTGACAACGGGGCTAGTTGAGAGCCACCAGGAGCCATGTTTCCTTTGTCCTAGGTTTCCCAACAAACAGCCCTGGGGGCGTGTTACAAAACAGATTCACAGGGGCAACAAACAAGGCCCCCATCTTAAATTTAAATGCATGTAAAACAGCCTGCTCAGCATTGTTACAGGTAAAGACCTCGATTTACTATGCAGGTGATCTGTTTAGAGACCAGGTTCCTTCAGAGTGGTTGTTCTTCATGGTACTGAGATCAGGGAGACGTAAATAAGATAAAGTGTGGGAGGAGGATAATTTTAGAACAGCCAAGAGCTACTGATGACAATAGATCAGGCCAAATAAAAGTAGGAAAAGGGGTTTTAAACTGACGCGCTATCAGTGTTTCATAATTAATTGAATGGGGCCAGGGATTTAGCTCGGTGGTTCCAGCGCCTGCCTCACAAACGCAAGGTCCCGAATTCGATCCCAAGTACCAAAAAAAACCACAAAAACATAATCGAATGCCCTTTCTTTGGCTTGGCTTTGATGCAGTGGGTATTTGTTGAGAGATTGCTCTGTGCCAGGTCTTAGGAACGTCCCAGCGAGCAGACTGAGTGCCAGCTCCAGTGTGGTTGGGTTGGTGCGCCTGAGATGTATGCACGATGCTAGCGAGTGCTCTGCAGAACAGCCAACTTGCAGGCCACAGAAGAGGGCCGGGCTGCTTCAGTCAGGGAGGCCGGGGAGGGTGATTCTGAAAGGTTGAGCTGAAGCCTAAGTGACAAGAATTTCCTTTAAAATGTGGAGAACAAGACAGTGTGACAGCACACACCCCATAATCCCAGCACTATGGGAGGCTGAGGCGGGAGGATCACAAGGTCCAGCCCCGCCCAGGCAATTTAGTGGCTCAGTGAGAGCATCTCAATAAGAAAAATAGAAAGGGTTGAGGATGCGGCTGTAGGAATGCCATGAGTGTAGCCCAGGTAAGAGGGGTAAGGACAGCTCATAGAACAGAAGGCCTAAAGGTGTCCAGGTAAGAGTGGGCTTGGCTGATTAAAGAAATCAGACTGGTGCTGCTGTGGAGCGGTAGCTGGTGAGTTATATGCAGGGGCAGCGGGCAGGACAGCGGCAGGACAAGGTCACAGATAAAGGGAGATTTGCTGGAACCCAGGGCAAGGAGTTTGGATTTATTCCTGGGATCATAGGGAGTACGTGGTGGTTAGAAAAGCTTGTCAGGGACCTGTGCATAGGCGGCCTTCCTGCCAGAGGGGAAGCTGGGGCCATTCTTGGTCTGGGCCTGCACAGTGGAGGTTAGGAGTCTTAACCGGTTGTGAAGGCTGAGCGCGGGGCAGCATGGCACTGGGAGGCCAGAGAGGTGAAGCAGGTAAATGACTCATCCAGAAGCTGGCCAGTGATCGGGACGGAAGCACAGAGTCATCTCACGAAGGTGGCAGATTTGTCACTAGACCCTTCCCCTCCGTGTGACTGGGAAATGTAAGGTGTCCTGTCCCTCGGTCACAGGTGGTGGTTATGGTCTTGGCTTTATTTTTCTTCATAGTATTCTTAGCAGTACATGAGTTTTCCCTAAAATCTGATCTTCAGTAAGACGTATCTAAGCTTTCTTCCCAAATTTCTCCCTAAAAGTCTAAACTCCCCAATCCCATTCTTCATTGTCTCTTCCTTTGCTAGTCCAAACTGCATCTTTTCTCATTTTGGCTTCATTAACTTTGTAACTCACATGGCACTCTGAAAAGCCCTGACTCCTTCAGCTGGTACTGCACAGTTGATTTATGAGATGGGGATCGCCAGTGATGTCCGCAGTAGCACAGTACTAGCAGCTGCACCTAAATGGAAAGTGTGTTTGGAAGGAGACAGATGTTGACAATCCAGCTGTGTGGGCCCCGGGGAGGGGGAGGGCTCTGCACAGCAGAGATCCCTGCAGCCAGCCGGTCCCTGGTCCTTCCTCCCAGGCACTGAAAGGAAGGACCTCAAATGGTTATTTCCCTACTTGTTCCGGTCACGAGCCTGTCCACTCCCCCACCACTGCAGGGGCCTCTCTTTCCTGATGTGGGGGTTTGGCTGGGTTTCTTTCAGTGTGATTTTGAAGTCAGAGGAGACGTGATCAACGGAAGAAGCCACCAAGGTCCAAAGCGCGCGAGGGAATCCCAGGACCGGAAGGTGAGCACTGTCCTTACCACTGGCAGGACTCTGGCTCAGCGTGGCCACGTGACTCGGTTCCAGACTGGGATTTAGATCCCAGCTGCTAAGTGGCAGAGCTGGAGTTTTAAACAAGTACGCGTCTACCGGGCCGCCTCTGTCTCACCGTGTGTGTCTCGAAAGCAGGGTAGTAAGAGCTCGGAGCCAAGTGCACACAGCTGTGGAGCAGCAGAGAGCAGGAAATGATTAATCATCAGCCATCAGCCAGGCCGGGGACACCTGTAATCCCCAAGTCCTCCAGAGGCTGAGGCAGGAGGCTCACACGCTTGGGGCTAACTTGGGTAAATTAACAAGACCCAATTTTAAAATAAAATACAAAGGACTAAGGATGTGACCCAGTGGTAGCATGAGCAAGGCTCTAAGTTCAAACCCAATACCAAAAATGAAAATCAACAATAGCTAACATGTATATAATGTATACTACATGCCAACTAGTGCTCTAAATGACCAACAATATTTTCACCATTTTACAACTCTATGGAGTGTGTAGTAAGTAGCTCAGACTGGCCTTGAACTGCAACCCTCTTGCCTCAGTCTGCCGAGTGCTGGGACATAGGAAGGCACCGCAATGCCTGCTTCATTATTCCCCATTGTGTACATATGAGAAAACTGAGGCCCAGAGAGGGTGAGTGTGGTGACCAGGGTCACGCAGCGAGTGAGTAATGGAACTTGGAGTCAAGCCCAGGCAGTTCGCTCTGGGTTGAAAGTCTTAACCATACCATGGGTTCTGAGAAGGTCAGAGAGGCTCCACAAAGGACTCATGGGTTATCCTAACAGTTTTAAGTGCGTCCCAGGAAGCCTCCATGGCCTCCCTCAGTGATGTGGCTGGAATAGCGTGTTTCTCTTGAGGAACCCACGCGCGCCTGATGTCCATACCTGCTGTCTGGCCTGAGCCTTCAGCAGGCTGGAGTTCCTGGCTGTGCTCGGGTCCCTGTCTGCATTTCTTCTTTTTCATGTGTCCCCGTGGGCATTTCAGCACATCGTCCAGTGGCGCACCCCCTGGCCATCACGGAAGCTTAGCAAAGGTGGCTTCCAAGGAAACTGCTGTGGTTTATTGTTTACTTTGGGGTTTTGTTTTTTGAGACAGGGTCTCGCTATGTAGTTCAGGCTGGCCTCAAACTCGTGGCAATCCTCCTGGCTGAGCCTCCCAAGTGCTGGGATTACAGCTGTGGACCCCCACGCCCAGACAGGAAAACTGCTTTGGAAGATGGTCTCAAATCAAGCCTAGGGGGCTGAACCGTGGGTCAGCCACCCTCCCCTCCAAGCCTGTCAAGTAGCCGAGGTGCGAGAACAGTGTTCATCCTCCTGCTCTGCCTTCATCCAGCGGGTCTGGGTTCAATAGCGTCAAGCCTGTCCAAGGGCTGGGGACAGGATGAGACCGACTCACCCTGCCGGCCCTTCTCTGTCCTCTGGCCATGGCCGGGTGTGCATGTGGGGGGCTGCGTCCAGGAGGGGGACCACTTCCTGTAAGGCCACCCGTGTGCTGCAGTCCCTTGGAGGCTGGGTCAGTCTGGACATAGGTGCTTTTCGTGTTAGTGGAGCAGGGAGTGGGGGAAGGAGAGGCCTTTGAGCATTGCGCAGGGTCACACGGACTCCGTGTGTCCATCTGGGCTCAGTGCCACATGCTTATAGTCACAGCTCCTTGGAAGCTGAGCCTGAAAGTTGGTGACCAGCCTGGGCAGCATCACAAGACAAAATCTATCCTTTTTTGGTTCCAGCCAAGGATCCTGCCCCAGCTCTCCTGCTGGGCAGTTGCTGTGCTTCCAGCCCTGGCTTCCTCCTCAGTGGCAGAGCCCTGAGGCCCGGTACAGACGCCCACATAAGTCTTTGTGCCATCCAGCCCAGTTGCCACCAGCCACAGCGCTCAGATTCAGAGTCAGGTGGGAAGCTGGGTCCCTTGCTCTGCCCATGTTTCCGGTGCCCACACCGCACCTTCCCGGGCAGATCCAGAGCCTCTCGGGCATCAGGAGGTCCCCAGGCCAGACTGCCAGCCTGGAGGCAGAAGTCACTGAGGAGGTGCCCTGGGCCTGTGTCTTCAGGATCCAGGCTCTGCTTCCAGACACAGCGCTGCGGAGCTCACTAGGGGCCGTTCTCGGAGCCGTGAAGAGGAAGGAGCTGGGGGCCGGGGATTTAGCTCAGTGGTTCCAGCTCCTGCCTTGCAAGCGCGAGGTCCCGAGTTCAATCCCCGGTACCAAAAAAACAAAGGGATGAAGAAGAGGAAGGAGCTGTCAGGGAGCAGCGCGCCGTGGGGATGAGTGACCATGTTAGGGCAGGCAGCAGGCTTCAGCCAGTGGCTGTGGCTTTCCTGCCATGCTGGCCTTTTATGAAACAGGGCCCAGGACTTTTCCTTTCATTCCTGCCAAGACATGAAATGACCTGCAAATGCCAGCGAGAGGATCCTGGGCCAGCTGGGCAACTCCCTGGAATGATAAAAAAGCTACTCTGAGTCTCAGTCAAACACGCACACTCAGGAAAGCCCTCAAGCCTGTCAGTGTCCTGGACGCCGGCTGACTTCCCCAGGAAGTAGCAGATGTCAGGGAAAGAAATCGTCTTTTCTGAGCCTCTGGTCATAACTACTCTGTCCCCTGTCCCTCTCCCTCCTTGCAGATCTTCGGAGGCCTTACCGTCTGCTGCTGCGGGCCCTTTACTAACATGGCCACAGGTACGGGAATGGACGGGGCGGTGCTTGGGAGGAGGTGGCACCTGTGTCATCCCCCAGACCTCATGCCCTGCTCAAAGCAGGAACTGACATCCAGCGCTCTGTGAGGCTGAGGCAGGAGGATAGTGCCCATCTGGAATAAGGAGGGGGCAGGAGGCCAAATGGGGAGAAGATGGTTCGGGTGTCTCAAGGTCAGAGGAGCAATGGCTCCCCCAGCCCTCTCCATTGCACGTGAGAGGCAAGCGCAGTGCTGGGGTCTGCGGTCAGGCCAGGGCACCAAGGCCAGAGTAGGGAGGCTCTCAGAAGAGTGTCTCCAGCTCAGCCTGACACAGTGTGGTATTACCATCAGGGCTGCCGCGGGCTCAGCCCTGAGTCGGCATCCTGAGTGCCCTGTGCTTAGATTTGGCTCCATCTGTGCCTCACCCCTGCCCGAGGCCTCGCCCCTGGAGCCTGGCAGCTGTGCATGTGCAGCAAGTGGGCCTGGCCATGGAACTCTGCTTCCTCCCTAACGTGATTGGTTGGGATTTTATGAAATTTCCAAGTGCCACTCAAGGGTTTCTCTGTTTCTGTGCTTTGGTGTAGGGAAAAACCAGGGTCTCTCGCAGGCATCCTTTTGGCGGTGTGAGTGAACCTCACTTCGGTCAGCCAGGAGCTGGGCGTGGTGGTGCACATTTATCATCCCCACCCTGGGGAGGCTGAGGCAGGAGGATCGCTGTAAGTTCAGCGTCAGCCTCAACTATGTAGTGAGACCCTGACTCAGAAGTCAAAAAGAAAAAAGACAGGGCCAAGGATTTAGCCCAGTGATGTCTGCCTTGTAATCGCAAGGTCCTGAGTTCGATCCTCAGCACTAAAGAGAAAAAAGACAGCAGGGTGCCCTTCAGCAATCCCGAAACAACCCAATGTGCTGATTCTCCAGGTGCAAACAGGACAGCCCTGCAAGGTCTTCTCTTCCTCCTTCCTTTACTGTTTCTCTCTCTCTCTCTCTCTCTCTCTCTCTCTCTCTCTCTCTCTCTCTCTCTCTCTCTCTCCCCTCTCAGGGATACTGGAGATAGAACCTCGGACTTTCACACTGAGCTGCATACCCAGCTCTTTGAGAAAGAATCTTCCTAATTTGCTGGGCTCAAACTTGTGATCCTCCTGCCTCAGCCTTTCAGTAGCAAGGACTTAAGGTGGGCACCGCTGTGCCAGACTTGCAGGCCTCCTGATTTTCCTCCTCTGTGGGGTGGGGTCCAGCACAGCCTATGCCCTTTGCCCCTGTTGTGCATATCTCCACTCCTCTGCAGTCGTCCCTGACTGGAGCGCTGGGCAGTGCTTATCCACCAGTGCAGGGCCAGCGTGCAGGGCAGGAAGCGGGCTTCACACAATGTCTAACCAGCACGTTAGCAAATTAATGGAAATTGGATCTTGGATATTTTTCCTCTGGAAACGTTTTATTTGGAAGACTAGGAGACTTGGCTACCCAGCAGCCTCTTGGGGACTGACAGCCCTGAGCGTGGCACAGCAGCAGTCCTGACAGGCCTCTGTCCCTGAAACACCTGCCTGCCTCGAGCCTGAGAGCAGGAGACCTGGGTCGCATGCAGCCGGGTGATGGTAGCCGGTTGTCGCCCTGCAGATCAGCTCGAGTGGATGCTGCGGCTGTGTGGGGCGTCTGTGGTCGGAGAGCTCTCGGCGCTGCCCCTCAGTACTGTAAGTGTTGGGGCTCTGGGCCCGGGGACCCCGAGTGAGCACCGGGAGTGTGGTCTCTCTGCCCCAGGCCCCTCCCCTCCCCTCAGTGTCCCACATGGCGCGGTGACCACTGCCAGAGCCCTGCTCTGATACCACAATGCCCTCTCCTGGGGCTGCAGGGAGCTCAGTCGGTCGTAGTCATGCAGCCGGAGGCCTGGACGGAGGACGCGGACTTCCTTGGTAAGATGCCTGTGTCTCCAGGGACACTGGGTCCTGTGGGTGGGTGTGGCCTGGGTAGCAGCGTCCCTGGTGCGTTTTGATTGTTGGTTAAATGAGTAGGTGAATGTCCTTTCAACATGTTTTATTGCATTGTATTACAAGGGTAATACGATAAGTCCCTGACTTATGACATTCGAGTTGTGAACTTCCACAGGTGCACTGTATAAGACTCGGTTTGTTGGGTACGAATGAATCTGCCTTACAGTTCTGGAATGGAACTCATAGTAAGTCGGGGACTTACTGTACATAACCTTTTTGCATAGGAGGGTAGTTTGGATTTTGGTCCCCACACCCGCCTTGGTTTTTTGAACAGGGTCTTGCTGTGTAGTTCAGGCTGGCCTTGTACTCACTATTAGATCCTAGACTGGCCTCAAACTCACAGCAGTCCTCCTGCCTCAGCCTCCCAACTGCTGAGATTACAGCATACGCCACTATGCCTGGCTAGTTTTGGTTTTTGGTCTAAGATGATGTCTCATCAAATTGCCCAAGCTGACCTTGAACTCCAGAGTGCAGGGGATCCTCCTGCTTCAGCCTCCTGAGAAGCTGAGGCTACAGGTGTACAGCAGTCCAACTGGTATGAATGTGTGTGGGGGGTGTTAAATATAAATGTTCACAGAATATAATGTATCATAAAACAAATCTCAGTAGGCCAGGCATTTGACTCATGCCTGTCATCTCAGCCATTCAGGAGGCCAAGGCAGGGGGACTGTGAGTTCAAGGCTGGCCTGGGCAACACAACAAGACCCCAAAGCAAAAAAAAACCCACAATAACCCTGCGGTGTGCAGGTGATCACCGTCAAATTCCCCATGCGTGTGTTCTGCACACACACGGGGCCACGTGCAGCATGCTGTTTCCCCATCAGTGCCTCGAGAGCCCTGGCTCTGCTGGTGCATCTCCATCGCCTGAGCTGAAGCTGTGTTAGTCCAGCTGCCCGTGGCTGGGCTCTCCCAGGCGTTGCGGCAGCTACCTGGGGCAGCACTGGGGCCCCCAGATTAACCCTCGGGACCCCTGCAGCCAGGTCTCCGAGTGGGGACCAAGTTGACACTGATTGCCTGTGTCTGTCCCCAGCCCTCGGACAGCTGTGCCAGGTGCCCGTGGTGACCAGAGACTGGGTGCTGGACAGCGTAGCCCTCCACCAGCGCCAGGAGCTGGATGCCTACCTCATCCCCCAGGACCCCCACAGACCCCGCTGACTCCGCCCATCCAAGGGTCTGGGACCACAGGACCCCGAGGATGCCCTTCAGAAGTGGCCTTGGCCGGGCACGGTGTCACTATTGCATGCCTGTCATCCCAGACCTCAGGGATGCTGAGGCAGGAGGATTGCAAGTATCAGCCCATCTGGGCAACTTAGCTAGACACTGTCAAAAAATGAAAAGGGACTGAGGATGGAGCTCAGTGGGAGGGGGCTGGGCTCTGCAGGCGGGGGAGCCCCTCTGACTCTTCCTGAAGTCCTGGTTCCAGATGTCTCCTCCGCATGGCCTGAGAAGAGCTTCCGGCCACCAAGTGTCTCTTAAAGATGTTCTGTTTCAGGGCTCCTTTTGAAACCTGCACAGAACTGTGGCAATTTTTCACCTGCAAAGCACTAAGAACCATTTAGCCCCACAAGCAACCAAGACACAGGTTCCTTTCCCTGGGCAGAGGCGGGTTGGCGGGGTCCCTGGGTTTGTCTCAGCCCTGTTTGCATCCAGCCCTGGTTGGGCCTGAGTGGGAGGAGCTGGGGGCCTGAGACCGACCTAAAACTGGGCAGGCACATAATGGAGGTGAATGTGGGGCTCGGGTTCCTTAGAGGAGACCTCCAAAAATCTACCAGATGTGCTCTGCAAGAGTTCTTTTCCCAGGAACCAGGGTCCAAGGAGAGGCTTCTCGTTCCCCAGTAGAGGCAAATCAGAATGTTTGTTCTCATCTCCCGGGCATGTAACCCGTCCCTCTTAACATCAGCTCTGGCATGAATATATCATGGTGCTGAGGGACGGATCCCACCGGGAAAGGAGCTGTTCCACTCTTTGAGGTAATTTCTTCCCCCTTGCTTCCCATTGCTGAACGTTACAGCTTCATAAATAATTTGCTGAAGAAGAGAAAGTGGTTTTCATAAAGTCCTTATCCAGAGCCGTTTCTGGTGTGGGAAGGACTGGGTCTTGCCTAGCCCCGGTGTGCAAGGGCAGGCTAGACCTGATTGTATGAAACACGTTTGTAAGTGTGCTGTTAACACTGCAAATAAACTCGGTAGCAAACGCTTCCACCAAGAATGACTGTTGTGTTTTTGTTTTTGTTTTTTGAGACAGGGTTTTGCTATGTAGTTTATTCTGGCTTTGTACTCAGGGTGATCCTCCTGATCAGCCTCCCGAGTGCTGGGATTACAGACATGTGCCACCATGCGAGGCCGAGAATGGCTGTTGTTGAGATTTAGACTGCAGACAGCCTTTTCTCTGTGGCCCTGGGGATGAAACGCAGGGCCTTCCTGCTGAGCTGCATCCCAGCCCTCCCCCGTTTTTTTTCATTTGCAGCCTCATCTGTAAAATGGGGCTTCGGATACCATCTACCTTTAGGGTGACAGGCAGCTTAAATACCTGCCACATTTCTATTTCTTCCATAGCAGATCATCACAACTGTGGCCGCAGCAAGGTGGGTTTATCACTTCTTGCTTTGGGATGGGCCAGGTGGCGCTTGGTGACAGCTCCCGTTAGCGAGCTGGGGCCCACATTCCTGTCTCTGGCAGCCCGCAGCCTCCGCCCCTCACATACATCTCCAGCGGAGGGCCCAGGTTGGCCTGGGAACCCAGGGCACCTCCCGGCTCCAGGTGCGTTTCCTCAGTGATGGCCGCCCTGTCCCTTCCCAGCCATATCTGGATGAGGGAGGGACTCGGGGACCAGGAGGTGGCAGGACTGTCCTCTGCTCCCCTGCACAGCTGTCCTGACCCACACCGCCTGGAGCCCAGCCCTCCCACTGCCAGGTCTGAGGCCTGGGGCCTGGGGTGGGCAGCGCAGAGGAAATGGGTGGGTTTTATCCCAGCCTTCCCCCCAGCCCTAGGAACTGTTTTTTTTTTTCCTCGTTTGGAAAATGGGACCTGACACTCAGGTTCCTCACTGGTAAAGGTTTCCACAGCTAAGCCAGGCGCACACCTGTAATCCTGGCACACTGGGAGGCTGAGGCAGGAGGATCACAAGTTCGAGCCCAGCCTAGGTGATGTAGCAAGACGCTGTCTCAAAATGGGCTGTGGATCTAGTTCAGTGCAAACTGGGTTTGATTTTTTTTTTTTAAATAGTAAAAGTTTTCTGTAGATGGGCGTGGTGGGGCATTCCTGTAATTCCAGGTTCTTGGGAGGCTGAAGCAGAAGGATCCAGGGCAGCCCAGGCAACTCCATGAACCTTGTCTCAAGATGAAAAGTGGACAGGGCGGATGTAACTCAGTGGTAGAGATCTAGTGTACTGTGTCAGCCCTGGCCTTAGTCACCTGCACAAGGCCGGTGTGATTGTCCCTTGGGGTCTTCCTGCCAGCCAGCGGCTCGGCTGCCCCTCCCACCCCGACTGGAAGACGTTGCTCCAGCCCAGACTCCTGCTTGTCCCACGGCCCCTTGCCTGTTTCCCAAAATGGACCTCAAAAAGAACAGGGCTGCAGGTTATCTCCTGAAACACAGACAGCGCCAACCAAGCATCAGCCGGGAAACCCAGAGAGGGAAAGGCATGGGGATGGGAAGCCAGCAAGGAGCTGGCGCCCAGGATGGAGCGGCGAAGGCTGTGCGTGCGTGTGGCACAGTAAGGGCGGCTGGGCCTGTGATGCCCGAGCCCAGGCCTCTGCCCCGTGCTGGGGTGCTCAGCTCCTGCAAGCAGCCCGTAGATCTGCCCAGAGCAAGGAGAAAACTGAAGAAATGAATCTGGGCTCTGGACAAATAGAAAGCTAGGGAGAGCTGGAAACAGGCAGCTCCTGCCCAGAGCAGGGACTGGGGAGGGAGGGTCAAGAAAACCTCAGCAATGGTTGGAGGGGCTGGAAGGAATGAGGTTGGAGAGACCTGGACATGGTGCCTTGGGGAGTGGGAACTTTGCTTTTGGGGGTGTTTGTTTTCTTTTGAGAGAGGGTCTTGCTGGGTAGCCCAGGCTGGCCTCAAACTCCCAGTGATTCTCCTGGCTCAGCCTCCTGAGTGCTGGGATGACAGGTGTAGGCCACCACGCTGATTCCGAGTGGGAATTCTGAAGACCTCGTTCTCAGTTTAGTGCAGTGGTTCTCAAAACAGCCGGGCCAGAGGCCCCCAGGTGGGAGCTGCAGGATCATCCGGGAACCTGTTGGGGATCCGGGATCCCAGGCCTCGCCACTCAGGTGGAGCCCTTGGAGCTGCCAAGGTGCAAGTCTGGGAACCAGGGCCGAGAGCAAGGTGCTGCCAATGGCTGCAGGGTCCCCGAGGTGCGTGGGGATCACAGCCTGGGCCGGGGCTTATCTCATCTCCCAGGCTGCAGCGCTGCCTCTGCTCCTGCTAACGGCCCTGCAAGCAAACACAAAGCAAAGGACAAAGATTAAATTATATGAGCACCGTAGGAGCAGAAGGGCCGAACTGCTTGAGAAAGAAACCAGCTCTTGGCTTAGGAGGTTTTATTAATATTTAAATTGCAGTGAAGCCCCAGCTGCCGCCTTGGACTCCAGCATAGCCATATGCAAATGCGTCTTTCAGAAGCAAGGCAATTTCAGACAGCCCTCAAGGTAACAAGAACAAATAAAACAAATGATTTTGTAATTTATCGACTGACGGTGCGCCCGGCGTGGGGGGGGGGGGGGGAGTAGGGAGCAGCGGAGGACGGGGGGGGGGGGGGGGGGGGGGGGGGCGCGTGGGACCCACCTGATGCTTCAGCTCCCAGGAACCATGACAATCATCACTGTTGTGCAGGACTGCGGCTTGAGCCCAGGGCTTTGGCACTGACTGCAGCCCTGGCCTTTTGTTTTGTAACTCACAGCGATCCCCCTGCCTCAGCCTCCCGAGTGCTGGGATGACAGGCGTGCGCCACCTCCCCTCCCTCTTTCTGGCTGAGATAGGGTCTGCCCGGCTGGGCTCAGCCTGCGATCCCCCCCGCGCGGTGGTGGGAATCACTGACCCTGTGCTGCTCTCTTCACGCAGATGACGAAGGCCGAGCTGGCAAGCTGGCGTGGGAGAAGGGGCCAGCCCAGACTCAGCTGTGGGAGGCGGAGCCCGCGCCCGCGGGGCCCTGGCAGGGAACCAGGAGCAGCGCCGCTCGCTCGCCAGGTTCAGGGCGAGGGCAGAGTTTGCGCCGGCGGCGCCCTGGCCTGCGTGCGCACGCGCATGCGCGGGAGGGGTTCCCGGGCCCGGGAGAAGGCCGGTTTCCGGGCTCAGAGGTTCACCGCGGCGGGGCACCGCGCACACCTGAGGTCCCAGCCCTGGGCGGGCTGAGGGGAGGGCGGGGCTTCGAGTTCAAGGCCAGCCCAGACTCCGGGGCAAGACTCACATAAAACGCTTAATATTCAGGGGGTGAAGCAAGAAAGCCCAGAAGGCTCCAGTGCGAACGATTCTGGTTTCCGAGGCCGTTTGGAGCGAGCTCAAGGCCCTGGGTTCAAGCCCAGCACTGACTGCCAGAGAGAGAAGCTCTTCGCAGCTCCGCCGTACACGCTGCGGGGCGACCCCAGGAGACAGCCCCTCGGCCCTCAGCCGCAGCTGGCGAAGGGGCGGGAAGGAAGGGAGGAAGGAAGGGGGAGGAAGGAGGGCGTGGTCACCGCACACCACCAAAGGCCTCGGCTCCCCCCCCCCCTCCGCCCGCCACCCTGGCTCCCCCTAATGGCGCTCGGACCCGCAGCTCTGCAGCCCCAGATCTGCCTGCACCCCCTTCCCCAGAGCCTTCCCGGTGTTTCAGGCCACTCTCCCCATTTAGAATACCCACGCTCGGTGTGGTGGCACAGTCCTGTCATCCCAGCTCTCAGAAGGCTGAGACAGGAGGATTGCTCTGAATTCGAGACCAACCTGGGCTACATAGTGAGACCCTGTCTTTAAAAAGAGTTTTTTGGTACCAGGGGTCAAACTCAGGACCTTGCGCTTTCGAGACAGGTAGAGACAGAGGCTAAATCCCCTGCCCCAAAAGATTTTTTTATAAATGAAATATAAAAAGGGCTGGGGGCCAGGGATTTAGCTCAGTGGTTCCGCTGCCGGCCTTGTAAGCTCAAGGACCCGAGTTCGATACCCAGTACCAAAAAGAAGGACTGGGAATGTAGCTCAGTGCAAGGGCCCTGGGTTCAGTTACACACACACACAAATGTTTTGCTTTATTTAGGATACTTTTTTTATTTTGTTTTTTTTGATACCGGGGATCGAACTCAGGTTCTTGTGCTTGCTCAGCAGGCAGGGAAACCACTGAGCTAAATCCCCGGCCTAGGATACTTTCTTTAATTGATAAGTTACTTGTATGCATATTCTGTCTTCTCTATTTGACTAGAAAGTCCTTGTAATCCTGTAGGTGGGTTAGTACCGTTTCATCTTTATTAGAAACCAGGAGGGCCGGGGATTTAGCTCAGTGGTTTTGCCGCCTGCTGCGCAAGCGCAAGGACCCGAGTTCAAACCCCAGTACCAAAAACCAAAAAACTATGAAATTTATTAGAAACCAGGATTTTATTTTTCTCCAATGATAGGGATGGAAAGGGGTTGAACTTGCTCTAGTAGCAGCTGTGGGATTAGAGGTTTGTGCCACCACACCTGGCTGTCACCCAGTTTCGCTCCTGGTGTCCGCTTTGTCAGGTACCTACTGTGTTTGCTGAATGGATGAGTTAAAGGATGAAGGACTCCATGAATGAAAGAGCAGGGCCCACGCTTGCTTGCCCTGGACCTTTGGAGAACAGCCCGGCCCATGGCGGTTCCCTTCACCCTCCCAGTCAGTTCTTACGGCCTGACTCATTCCAAAAGCAAGACAAGGCATCCAAATGTCTTCCTCTTCTAACCATCCTTTGGGCCTCCTGGGTTCTCTGCCTCTCCTGAATCCTCCCCGCAGAGTGGTCCAGCTTCCCCTACCTACAGGCTGGGCCTTCCCCAGCTGCCCTGCCCTGGCGGGGGAGGAATGAAGGTGTGCCCACTAATCGATTTGCAATCACAGCAGCAGCACAGCGAGGTCCCTCCCAGCTGGGGTAGAGACTGCTGACCCATGCTACAGAGGGTAAAACCGAGGCCCGGGGCCTTGTCACTTCCTAAGGCAGTGACAGACGTGAAACTAACCAGCACCTGAGCCCCTGTTCCTCAGGCCGCAGGTAGAGGCACCCTTGCCCTGTATCTGGGAGTCAGGGAGCTGGGACTCCGGGTGAGCCAGGTGTGGAGGCTGCAGGAGGTCAGAAAAGTGTGTAGCTCGGGAAAGCCTTTTTCTCTGCAGCACTGAAGCAGTTGGTGCTAGCTAATCCAAGAGGGTTTTTTTGGTTTTGTTTTTAGCATTACTACATGTCCCAGGTGAGGCACAGGTGGAGAGGGGGTGTCATCCGAAGGTGACAGAGACACAGGTGAGCAGATGTTTGCCATCCTGTCTTGAAAACCACACAGAGCCAGAGCCAGGGCCGGGGATTTAGCTCAGTGGTTTCACCGCCTGCCTCGAAAGTGCAAGGACCCGAGTTCAATCCCTGGTACAAAAAAAAAAAAAAAACCACACAGAGCCAAAAGGCAGTGTGTGTCAGCCAGAGAAACTCCTGCTGGGACTCGGGAGGGGCTTCTGAGGTTGGGTCAAGGACAAGGGCAGAAGCTGCTCCATGAACCCAGGAGGTGGAGACCCGTCCCCACACCCCAGCCTCATGTCAGCTCCCAGCCCCCAAGGTGAGATGCCACCTGGCAATGGGATCCCAGGAAGCCAAGGGCTGTTCGGAGCACCTCTGGTTTCTAACCCAACACCAGCCAGATGGAAAGGGGAAACCCCGTGGATACTCAGCTGCTAATCCCGGAGCAAAGCCATGCTCTTCCTCCTACCCAGGGCCAGGCCCTGCGCCCCAGCCACTCGGGTCATCTCACTGTGCTCCTTGTCAGCCTCCAGGACCCCTGGCATTGGCTTGGGCCGTGGGCACGGGCAGGGCCCATCCACCCCACTCTGTGAAGGCCCCAAGTGCCACTGAGCTGTGGGCCCACAATGGGCAATTGTGTGTCCTATGGATTTCACACAGAAAAAAAAACTGAGCCACCTTTGGGGCAAGGGGGAGTGGGGCCTGGCACTGGCCTCCTCGAAGGGCGTGGCCATGAGGGACAATGTCAGGCCAGCCTGGCCCGTCCTCCAGGACCAGATGGGAACTGGGGCTGGGAGGAGCCGGACTGGGGCAGCTGAGGCCAAGGCGCTCATTTGCATCATAAGCGATCGCTTCTCCCTGTCCCTCACCAGACACAATGGACAGTTGTTTGCTGGCACAGCAGACTGTCACAAGGAGAGAGCAAGGGAGCCGGTGACAGATGCCCTGGGGCTGGGGGGCAGCCCTCCCTCCTGTGCCCCAGGCCTTGGGGGACTCGTTTTCACATAGTGTCTAGGCCTTGGAGACCAAACCAGACCCTTTCCTTATTTGTGTGTGGGGGGGGGTGGCACTGGGGATTGAATCCAGGTCTTCCCAGTGATTGCAGTCCTCCTGCCTCAGCCTCCCAGAGTACTGCAGTTACACATTCGCAACCACCACGCCCAGTGTGAACCCAGTCACTTGACCGAGGAGGGAACTGCGGTGTTAAGAGGGGACATGAGACTTTCAAAAGGCTAAACAGTGAGCTCACAGCAGTGTCACAGCTTCTAGAACCTCCTAGGCTGTCATTCAGGGTGCTACCTTAGCCTGCCCCTTACCCATCTGGTGCCCTGGTTCTGTTCTGGGCTTGGGTTCCATCCTCCTCTCTCCTGTGTCCATCTGATCCCTGCTTTCTGTGGTCCGGCTGTGCCTCTCCATCTTTCCCAGGCAGCCAGGATAATTCCTAAGATGCTTCTTTTGGGTTTTTGAGACACGGCCTTGCTGTGAAGTCCAGGGTGACCTGGAACCCTCATCCACTCTCCTGCCTCAGCCTCTGAAGTGCTGGGATTACAGGCTTCCCCTTAATCCTTGCCCTAACCGTTAGGTCTGGCAGGAGAGAAAGGAGCTCGGAAGCTGTCTCTGCATTTCAGGGAGAGGAGCAGAGAACCAGCGTGGGCAGGGCCTGCTGGAACTCGGGCGCGCAGACAGCAAGACTCTGCTTGGTCCTGTCAGTCTTGTGAGCTCCGTGGTCCTAGAGGCGAATGGTGAGGCTCCGAGGGGCTCAGTTGCCTGTCCACGGTGGCCCAGCTGGCAGACGGTGGCAGACACAGGCTCTGGGCCACCTTCTTGTTCTCCCCTGCTCCGAGACTCCCTCCCCAGACCCCTCTCCTGCTGCCACTGCGGCCCCCTCCAGTGTGCAGAGCACCTCAGGACGGTCGCCCCAGGGTCCCCCCCTGCTCAGGGCCCCTCAGGTGGAGGCTGGAGCCTGGGTCTGTGTCCTGCCGGGAGGGGGCATCAGGGCGAGTGGGAGTCTGCGTGCGAACAGAAGGCCTCTGGGTTCATCTGACGCTAAGTGAAAAACTCCCCAATTATTCGCCCAGCCTCATTAATATGCAGACAGACATCTGTTATTTAGGAGGCAACAGCAGAGGTGTTGGGGGGCTGGGCGCCTGGCTTCCTTGTCCAGGTTGCGGAGTTAGCTGCCTGGGCTCCCCCAGGCCTGAAGGCCCCGCTGGACCCTCTCCTCACCCTTGAGGAACGCAAGGAGGGGTCAGCCAGAGGCGGGAGAGGAGCTGACAGGAAACCGCTGAAGACAAAAGCTCTTCCCGCGGAGGACACACCTACCCCCGTGTTTAGCCCGTGATTAGCCCCTGGGAAACTAAAGACGCCTCTCGGGGCTGGGCTGGGCTGGGCTGGGCTGGGCTGGGCTGGGCTGGGCTGGGCCGGGCTGGGCCGGGCTGGGCCGGGCTGGGCCTCCCCTCCCCCGGCCCACGGGAGTCCAGGAGCTGGGGTGGGTTTCTATGGCAACATTGGGTCCTCACTCCAGGGTCCTACAAGAAAGTAGGGGGTTCAGAAAGATGGAGACCAAAGGACCTCGGCCTTTGGAGGGGCAGCTAAGGGTCCCCCAGCTCCTAAGACCGGTGTGGGAATGAGCTGGCCTCCCCCTCCATCTCCTCAGGCCTCTGCGTCCCAGCGGCAACCTCACACCAGCTATGACGCCTTTCCAGGTTCCCTCAAGCCAGGTTTGGAACCTCTGGAGGACCGGACACAGCCCTCGGGCGCGCAGGGTGATGACATCATCCTCAGCCACACAGTGGGACCCATGCGGGACAGGAGCCCCTCCCCCCCTTTTGGTTTGGTACCAGGGATCGAACTCGGGGTCCTTGCGCTTGCTGGACAGGCAGTGGAACCACTGAGCTAAATCCCCAGCCCTTCATTTTATTTTTGAGAGATAGTCTCACTAAGTTCCTAAGTTGTCCAGGCAAGACTTCAACTTGTGATCCTCCTGCCTCAGCCTCCCAGAGTACTGGGATGACAGGCATGTGCCACCATGCTCAGCTGATTAACCCCTTTTCCAGCTGTGAAAACTAAGGCTCAGACAGGAGCTGGGCTGGGCGTTGCCAAAATCTCCCCAGGGAGGAAGCCTCGGGGCTGGATGCGGAGCCTGAGGCTTCCGTCTGCTTCCGAAGCTCAGGCTCTTTCTGACCCCGTGCCCCCAGGAGGTCACCTGTCCGGGAGCCCCCAGCAGTGAGGCCCAGTATCTCTGAGGTGAGAGGGTCTCCCCGGTCCTCCTACCTCCGCCAGTTGAGTGCTGAGGTTAAGAAACTGGAGCAGGATCACAGCGTGATTAGTTGTTTATTCATGAACTGATTAAGGCGGCTACATTGTTTCCCAAACGGGCCTCTAATTTGCGGGGGAAACAGCTGTGGAGGCGGCAGCCAGTGCAGCTCCTGCGCCTGGGTGCTGGTGGCCACCTGCAGGGGACCCTGAGGACCAGGAGCAGCCCCTCCCGGTCCCCACCTTGGGCTCCCTGTCCCCTCCCTGACTTGGTTCTTGGAAGGGACCAGCATCCGTCCCCGGCGGGACTGGCAGTGTATTAAACTCTGGGGTTCCTCAGCTGATTTATCTTCCTAATTATGTTTGCTTTTGGCGGATGTTGAAATTAGTCCTCATTCCCTGAGTGCAATGGCAGGGAAGGGAGGGTGGGGAGCAGAGGGTGCAAATGCCCTGTGATGTGGAGGCCTCAGACCTGAGCGGGCTGTGTGCTGGGACATCCAAAATGGAGAAGAAACTGATGTGGTGGCGCACACCTATGATCTCAGCACCCCAGAGACTGAGGCAGGAGGATCTCCGTGAGTTCAAGGCCAGCCTGAACTACATAGCAGGATTCTGCCTCAAAAAACCCACGCAAAACAAATCTGGCCACTTCACTGTCTGCCTGAAGTCCTTAGTGGCTCCTCCCATCCCCAGAATGAGGCCCGTTGCCATCCTGGGCCCTGCAGGGCCCCTCTGGGTTCCCTGCCATGGAGCCCACCACACGGAGCTCATTCTCATGCCCTGTGCCACACCCGCCGGACCTTGTGCCCAGAGTGTCTTTCCTAACCACGCCCTGCCCACCAAACTCCTCTTCAACTGTCAGGACCCTCCCACAGGTGTGGGTACGAAGGCCTCTCAGCCCAGACACCCTCACACCGGGCACCTCTCCGCCTCCAAGCCGGCGTGTGGCATGCAGGGCACAGCATGGGCGGCCCAGTGGGGTCCCAGGATGGAGTGTGAGGTCTGGGAGAACCAGCTACAGCTGGGGTGGGGAGGGAGGCCCAGCTCGGTTCCAGTTCCGGGGACTAAGTCAAGGAAAAGAGGCCAGTGGGGCGGAAGCCAGGGAGGGAAACAGGACAATCCGAGCCCAACTCCGGGCACAGGGGCCACACTGTCCTCCTATTGTCCCTTGCTCTCCTCCTCCAGGGTGCAGCTGATGCTGCCGACCACGCAGGAGCCGAGGATCCAGCTCCTGACTGCTTGGGAGACTCAGGCCCACGTGGGATCTGCTTCTGGGATGCATCCTGGTCCCCACCACCTAGTGACTCCAACCCCTCCGGCCAAGCACAGGAGGACCCCCAAGGCCAAGGCCTGTCCACCTCACTGGCCAGAGTGAAGCGTCCCAGGACCTGGCACGCCCGAGCCTGGCTCCTAAAGGTTACTCCGATCAACTGCCACTCTGCTCCCTCCGTCCCTGCAGGTGGACCGGGACCCCCAGGACTGACAACCCTCTGCGCAGACATGGGTAGACTGGTTTTGGAAAAGCAACACATTTCCGGCCACAGCCGTTTTCCATGGACGTGGCCTTTATTTGGGGACTGTCCGGCAGGGAGGGGGAGGGCAGTGGGTGTGCAGCCAGCCAGGGCTTCCCCAGCCTGGAGTCCTGGTGCGCCTCCGGAGCCTGGAGGTCAGGAGTGTGGACAGCGAGAGTGAGAGGAGAGGAGAGCACAGCTTGCCATGGGGACAGAGGCAGGGCCAGGCTGTGGGCCCAGGACGGGGAGGGAGGTGGCCACATGGAGGAAACAGCAAGCTCAGGGTGACACTGCTTCCACCCCGGCTCTAGCCGCCCGCCGCCACCTACCCTGAGCTCCCTCAAGTCCCGGCAGGGAGAGGGCAGGAGAACTGGCACTGGTGACACTCTCTGCCTCGGTCTCCCGCCAGGGAACCTGCTGGCCGGCCTGGGTCACAGGTCGGGAACCACGGCACGGGCCCGTGGGAGCCGCAGTGCCCTCCCGTCCTCCCCCCTGGCCCTCACATGAGGCTGCAGCTCTTGGCCCGGTCCTTGTGCATCTCAGCCTCGCCCCCCCGCTCCAGCCGGCCCGACAGTGGTGTGGATCGCTGCAGCCCTCGGCGCGAGTCAGTTCGACGCAGCTGCCGGTGGCCGTGGCCGTGGCCATGGCCGAGGGACGCCACGGTGGCCACGTGGAAGACATCCCTGACACTGCGCTCTGAGGACCGGGAGGAGCACTCCACGTAGGACACGGCCCCCACCTGCTTGGCCAGCACGGTGCCCTGGGGAGAGGATTGTGGGAGGAGTTAGGCTGCTGCCCAGCAAGGGGCCTGGGGAGCCACGTGGGCGAGGGTTTGAGGCTATGGGGGTCACAGGACCAGGTCAGAGATCAGAAGCCAAGGTATAAGCATAGGATGGGTACTGTGGTTTTGCTTCTGTTTTTCACAGGACTGAGGACTAAAACCAGGGGCAAGGCTCTGAGCTGCATCCGCAGCCCCTTTTTATCTTTAATTTTGAGACAAGGACTTGCTGATTCACTAGGTGCCCAGGCTTGGTTTGAAATTTCAGCCCTCCTGGCTCAGCCTCCCAGAGTGCTGTGATTGCAGGCATGCACCACCACACCCTGCTGGGTAGTGCATCTTCAAATCAGGGACTGAGGGGTCAGAGGCCAGAGGTCCAGGCTCGGACTGGGTGGACGTCAGGGCCCCACCTGCTCGTGAGTGACAGGGATGAGCCTCTGCTTGGACAGCTCCCGCAGGGTGGCCAGGTCGGTCCGCATGTCCAGTTTGCAGCCAACCAGCACCACCTTGGCGTTGGGGCAGAACTCCTGCGTTTCCCCCTGCCACTGTTGGGGAAAGAACAGGGTTAGGGCCGCAGAGGCAGGCACAGGGAGGCCCGCCCTTCTCAGCCTGCAGGAAGCCCACTTCTCTGCAGGAGTACAGACGCAGCTGGAGGGTTTGGGCTGAGAGCCAAGGGGTGCCTGAGAGGGGAGGAGAGGCCCTTGGGGGTTGGGCCTCCTGCCTCAGTGGCCTGGAGGGGCTGCCACCCTGAGCCGTGCATTCCTGCACTGCCTGGGAACGGAGTAGCCACCTCCCAGCTGGGGAACTGGGCCGCCCTGGCTGACTCCTGTCCATCCATTGCCACTTTTCTCCTGGAAACAGGGACTGGGGAGAAGACCTCCTTCCCGAGCCCCAGTCAGTGCCCCACACCCCAGGAGAGGGGACAGCAGGGCTTCCGGCCCCAGTGCTCCTCCCTGTCCAGCTCCCCGCCCTGTGACCAGCTCTGAAGCTGTTCAGGGAGGGGCAGAGCGGGGCGGGCGGGGGGGAGCACCAGCACGTCACCCACATCGGCCCAGACGTTGCTCCCTCCTCCTGCTCATGCCAGGCAACAGCCAGCTGCCCGGTCCCCCACCTTCTTGAGGACGTTGTCCAGCGTCTCTGGACGGCTGATGTCGAAGCAGATGAGCACAGCATCCGAGTCTGGGTAGGCCAGGGGCCGGACGTTGTCATAGTAAGAGGAACCTGAGGGAAGATAGGAGTGAGGGGGACAAACATGGCCCTTATGGTACGGGGGGGAGACCAAGGGAGCACAGTGCACAGGTGCTGGGATTACAAGCGACGCCACCACACCCAGTGAGTTTTGATTTTGATTTTTTGTGTGTGTTTTTTTTTAATTTTTTTTTTTGTATTTTAATTTTAACCTTTTTCTTTATTTTTGCAGTATTGGGGATTGAACCCAAAGCCTCACACCGATCTACATCCCCAGCCCCCACCCCTCTTTTTCAAATTTTGAGACAGGGTCTTGCTGAGTTTCTCAGTTGCCCAGTCTGGGCTAGAACTTGTGATCCTCCTGCCTCAGCCTCCCAGAGTTCTGGGACTACAGGTATGCACTACTGTGCCAGCTCGAGTTTTGGAACCCTCTGAGACACTCAGGAATTTCTGTAAGTGCTTTCTGGACTTTGACAGGCGTCCTGTAAATCCCTCTAGGCAAGTGTGTGAAAATAAAGCCCTCTCTTTGCAGGAGGTGAGGGGCAGGGCCAGGGAGAGCTCTCTGTGCTCTTGGGACTTGGCCTGGGAAGTCTCCAGCTCTGCCGGGCAGGAGAAAGCCTGTATCTGAGTCCCTCAGCAGACTGGCTACCCCCGAGACTGGGGCCCAGGCTCTCCTTTAGGACAGTCTGCCCGGCTCACCAGGTCCCGCCTCAGTTTCCCTAGAATTAGGTAGAACACGGACTTCCCTTTCCTTTAGATTGGATGGGTTGCTGGGCTGGCCCGGAACCTCGGGGTCCTGGTGAGGCGGGGGGGGGG